AGTCAAACAGCCTACTTAAGGAGTCTGTTTAAATGGTTGGCAGAAGAGGGATGAGAGGTATAACAAAAAGTCAAACCTTAATAAGGATCATAAAAGTCAGGAAATTGTGGAGAGTCATGATCGCAAGATATGGGCAAGAAAAAAGTTTTAAGGAAAATCGTAACAAAGAGGACAGTTATGCGCAGACTCAGAAAGAGAATGTTTAAATTTATAAGTCAAATGATGAGAAAAGAGGGCCTAGGGAATGTAACACTCACAGGACATATTTAAGACAAATGAGATTAAGGAAATCAGAGATTAACTTATCTAACGAGCGTATGAAAATTGTTGGCAGAACCGGGATTAGTAGGATGGCAAAAAGACGAATATTACTAAAACCTAAATAGAGCAGGAAAGCGTAGAGAGGCATGATCGTAAATGTCCTGGAGGGATACGGCAGAATAAAGAAGAATATATCTATTCTTATTACAATTGTGCTTGTTTTTTCTTTAGTTAACACGACCATTACGCCCTGTCAGTAACTGAGAAATAATGGTATATTCCGCCTTCAGATCGCGTGAAGATAGGGGAAAATATACTATCTGTTTTCAGTGAGAAAATGAAAGGAAGAAGATAGGAAGATAAAAGGTGGAGATAGAGAGAATCAGATTAATTTGATAAGAACAGATACTACACTTTGATCTTAACCAAGTGATGGCGATCGAGAAAAATAAAACGACTTTTTCATAAACCCGGTATCGAATGCCTGAAATCGAAAGAGCAATCGGCAAAAATCCAGTTGCCATAAATGAAATAAAGTAACATCGCCGGCTGAATTAATATAAAATATTATAATTATGAGAAATATTTGTAATGTTTGGTCAAGCTCAGTTATTTAACAACTCCATAGGGAAATTTATACGAACATTTTATTGTCGTAGAACTCGCCATTAGCTTAAGTTAAGAGATAAGAATTAAGATTCATCAGAAAATGTAAACCGTGAAATGTTCACGGATCATTCTTAATAAAAAAAATTATACAGAAAAATATTTGTTTGATGCGTAATATTTTTTAGATGCCAGCATTCAAAGAAAATCCATATATACATAAACATATATACAGGTCCTTTGCGCACACCACGACCGGGGAGGGGAAGACTGATTGGGGCACGGGCAATAGATTGTGATATTCGCTATTTTGTAAACGTTTATCTAACTACGTCTATATACACTACAGATTAAACTGAGAACAACTGACTATTAAAGGACGAAAAATTTTATAGGATTTTGACGTCATTTTATGCTCATCTTTGTAGGGTTCAAAAGAGGGAATTTCTTTTTCTCATGCAATGTCTCGAAAATACTATATACAATTCACCATTTTTTATGCATAATGTTGGATGGGCTAAAATTGTTCAACTTCTCATCACAAAAGTCGCAAGTTGTTGTTAAATATTGTTATTTTACTTCACGTCTATGACTCAAATTTGTATTTAGATACACTGTATTTGTTTTCATTATTTTTCTTTTTGAATTGTTGACCTATGATCCATTGTTGTTCTCACTGAAAACAGATACATATATATATATATATATATATATATATATATATATATATGCGTGTATGTGTGTGTGAGCGTGTGTGTGTGTGTATTTTTAACACATCAGGACATGTTCAAAGGTCTAACCTTCACAACAAAATATACGTTTCCCTAAAGAATAATACAATTCTGATGCATTTCACCTCAGCAGCTTAGCCGCGAAATTCAGTCAGTCCGAAAGATGCAGTTTCGAACAGTTCTTCATATGTTATTTAATCCAATATTATTTTAGCGCGTAATTTTATGCGTTATCGATGTTTTTTATATATATATATATATATATATATATATATATATATATATATATATATATATATATATATATATATGTAACTGGATTGTATTATGAAAACATGTTAATATGTCTATCAGTATATCGATATTTTTTTCTCTTTCGTCGTTTATGTTGGCGTGTCAAGTTTCAGATATATCTAAAAAATATATGTATAAAAGAATCATATATCTATCTATCTATCTATCTATATATATATATATATATATGCGTATGTGTGTCTGTGTGTGTGTATTGATATACACAGACCTTGTGATTCTGCCCATTCTTATTTAATATGTATCTATTTGTTTATACGTATGTGTGAGTGCGTTCATGTTTGTATGTTTGTGTGTGTGTGTGCGTGTTTGTGTGTGTTTATGTGTTGTGTATGCGTATAGTCTCCATCAAGCCTTGTTTTCTAGATCATTATCGGAAAATATCCATTTGTATTTTTTACATTCTGATTTATATTTTAGTAAATTCTCTTTGATGTAAAATTCATAAACATTTATTCGACATTTCACATATCTGAGTGAAGTCATATTAAGCTCGATGATTGTGTTTGGTTTGTCTTTTTTCTTTTCTTTTTTCTCACTTTCCCTGAATTCGATCATCTCACTCTGAAAATCGTTTCACTGACTTTAAACTCCTGGAAAACTGCATTTTTTCAATGTGTCATGTTCAATTTTATGAAAAAGAAGCGATATTTTTTCTTCTCCGGTATAAATATATGTACAAAAAATAAGAAATATGCAAGAAATAAAATTACGTATTAAACAAACATGGAATTGCATATCTGAAATACATCTAAGGAAGGATTTAATTGGTAGGTTTGTAATGTTCTTTGTAAGATTTTCACTATGAAAATCTCGATGAATTAAGCGCTAAAATAATGAAAAAAATATGCCTAAAATAATTATTTGTTGTGAAAAAGAAATGATTTGCCGTGGAAAAGAAATTATTTCTTCACTTAGATATATATGGCATATTTAGAAGCCTGTACCATACTGCATCTTTCATCGATTGTGAGGTACTATGGAGATTCTATTCGTTTTGAAATATTTTTATTCCGTTATATTTTAATGGTCGTTATAAAGAGCGAAGGGAACAGAAAAATATATATATATATGTGTGTGTATGTATGTGTGTGTTTGTGTGTGTTTTGTGTGTGTGCGTGCCCATTTAGGCATCATTTTTTCATTAATTCATGTTTCATTAAATAATATGGACAAGTTGTGTCTCTTTATTTTACGCAAATTCCTTTCATATAGTCTGATAAGCTTCATAACATTATCCTTGAAAGACGAAAGAAAATCACCATGTTGATACATGCATTTAATGCTACCTAACTATACTTACACATGAAAACAATAAAGAAAAACTAAAAATTCTTGAAGCTATATACATAAAACAGTTGAAACTTAACCTGCACAAAATAAACTATTAAAACTCCACAAATATGCTTAAATGCCTATAATTGATAACAGAAGCCATTGGTTTATACCAAGGGCTTCCCATACTTAACACTTCTCGTTTTCACTCTCGCGCGGTCATGTGTGATGTCATTGGCCGCGGCGCGATTTTCGCTTCCAGTGGCGCGTATGCATGAGTTTGTCGTTGCTTGAAAATCTTCAATGCAAATAAAAAGCAGATTATCATTATCATCATGTCCCTATATTGTTTAATTTATTGTAATGTTATTGTCATCTTTGATGATGGCTTAGATAGGATTAAAATACATGAATCAATATGGTGATTTTCTTTCGTCTTTCATTGATAATGTTATTTAGCTTGTCAAACGATATGAAAGGAACATGCATAAAATAGACAAAACTTTTGTATATTATTTAATGAAACATGCACCAATGAAAAAATGCGGCCTAAATACACACAATTTATATATATATATATATATATATATATATATATATATATATATATATATGTATGTATGTGTGTGTGTGTGTGTGTGTGTGTGTGTGTGTGTGTGTAATTGTTAGAGACAATTCCAAGATGGACATTAATATATATGTTTTCATCTTTTCACACCGATTATTTTTAAGAAATTAAATCCACCCAACCAGAGTGATACATCGGGATAATATTGTCATGCACATACAGGCCTGTTTCGCTGTAGTACAGCTCATCAGTATAAGTTACAGTGAAATTTATAATGATAAATTAAGAAAACATCTTAAAAATCCATATCGATTATAATCTATTTCGTGAATCTACAATAACCTTTATGAAAAACACTGGTCAAAATCATTAGATTTCTATGTAAATCAAATTACCGAAAACAAAGCATTATAAGAGAGGTACTGTACATTAAACATCTCTCCTCCACCATCAACCGTACCTTGTTTAACAATGGGAACGGCGTGCTGAAAGCCTTTAAAAAATAGAAAGTTGCCCACTCGAACCATAGCTGTCTCCAACATGCCATTTCTTGGAATTAACGTTCCTACTAGAATTCACAACCACCTAAATAATACATGTAACACAGTCGAAATGCGAAAAGAAACTAAGAACACTAATCAAAACCCCATTGAGAATGTCTAAGAAAGTGACCAAAAACACGTAATGGCAATGGACAAATTTTGTATTTCCTCCCTCCCACGAAACGAAAAAGATAAGGACGCTGGAAAAAAACTAAATAAAAATTAATAAAATTTATCGCCTGTTTAAAAAAAATGTTTGCTGCCCAAATATACATTAATATATATATATATATATATATATATATATGAAAGTTGTTGTTTGACGTCTGTGTATTCGGTTACAACACTAAAATAGGACAATCTCCGTCGAATGGACCGTACGTAAATTTAATATCCACCACTGACAGAGATACAATAGCTGGTTCTGAAGCAACGGAGTAATTGAGGCAGTACATTTAAAACAAAAATTACAATACAATACAACTCGGTTAATTTAATGATCTAGGATTCACTAGATCAGTGATTGAATATCGATATTTGGCGCGGGGTCTTGATGCAAATCAGGGTCCATGCAAATGTATTTTCTCAGAAGCGAAAGAAAGAAGCTTAAATTGATTATCAGGAGGTCGAATTTCTGATCGGCTGCCAGAATATTTTAGTCGTAGTTAGAAATCAACCATTGTTAAAACTAAATGAAATTTCTCCATGTTTTCTTTCTTTATTCTTCAACAATCTTCTCAGTTTCGCGATGCCCAATACACTTTCATAGCGTGTTCTTTCTTTCTTTCTTTCTTTCTTTCTTTCTTTCTTTCTAAATTATTTTCTATCCCTCCTAAATTTTCTTTCGTTATTATTGCCTTTCTTCTACATTCTTTCTTTCTTTCTTGTTCTTTCTTTCTTTCTTTCTTTCTTTCTTTCTTTCTTTCTTTCTTTTACTTTCTTTCTTTCTTTCTTTCTCGTACATTCTTTCTTTCTTTCTTTCTTCCTTGCTTTCTTGTACATTCTTTCTTTTTTCTTGTTCTTTCTTTCTTTCTTTCTTGTACTTTCTTTCTTTCTTTCTTTCTTTCTTTCTTGTACTTTCTTTCTTTCTTTCTTTCTAGTACATTCTTTCTTTCTTTCTTTCTTCCTTGCTTTCTTGTACATTCTTTTTTTTTTCTTGTACATTCTTTCTTTCTTTCTTGTACTTTCTTTCTTTCTTTCTTTCTTTCTTTCTTTCTTTCTTGTACTTTCTTTCTTTCTTTCTCGTACATTCTTTCTTTCTTTCTTTCTTCCTTGCTTTCTTGTACATTCTTTCTTTCTTTCATTCCTCTACTTTCTTTCTTTCTTGTACTTTCTTTCTTCCTTGCTTTCTTTCTTGTACTTTCTTTCTTTCTTTCTTTCTTTCTCGTACATTCGTTCTTTCTTTCTTTCTTCCTTGCTTTCTTGTACATTCATTCTTTCTTTCATTCCTCTACTTTCTTTCTTTCTTATAATTTCTTTCTTTCTTTCTTTCTTTCTCGTACATTCTTTCTTTCTTCCTTTCTTTCTTTTTTTCCTTTCTTTCTTTCTTTCTTTCTTGTTTTCTTGTACATCCTTTCTTTCTTTCTTGTACTTTTTTCTTTCTTTTACATTCTTTCTTTCTTCCTTTCTTTTGCATTCTTTCTCTCTTTCTTGCTTTCTTGTGCATTCTTTCTTTCTTGTACATTTTTTCTTTCTTTCTTTTTTTCTTTCTTCCACATTCTTTCTTTCTTGTACATTCTTCCTTCTAAATTATTTCTTTCTTTCTTTTACATTCTTTCTTTCTTTCTTTCTTTTTTCTTCTACATTCTTTCTTTCTTTCTTTCTTCTATAATTTTTCTTTCCTCTACAATCTTACTTCCTTTTTTTCTTCTATAATTTTTCTTTCTTTCTTTCTTTCTTTCTTCTACATTCTTTCTTTCTTTCTTCTACATTCTTTCTTTCTTCTTTCTTCTACATTCTTTCTTTCTTCTTTCTTCTACATTCTTTCTATCTCTCTGCGAAAATCTATTCCTCTCTAACGTTTTCTTTGTCTCTTTTAGTTTTTCCACCTTTTTTGTTTATCATTTTTTTATTTTTCAATCTTTATTTATCTTATTTTAACAACAAAAGATCCCTCTTTCTTTCTAACATAATCTTGGTCTCCTTCGCCCCTCTTTCTCTCTCTGTCCCTCTCTTTCAATATATCTTTCTTCTGTATTTCTAAATTTTCTATCCCTCCTATATTTTCTTTCTTTCGTTCTTGCTTTCTCTCTTTCTTTTATTTATTTATTTCTATTTATGAATTAATATTCTTTTTTCTCAACCACCGTTTGATCTCTCTCAATATTTCTGTCCCATTCTTTTTTGCTTTTCTCTTTTCGTTCTTTCTCTCTTTCTTTCTTTTATTCTAACAAGTCTATCTATCTATAGATCTACCTACTTATCTATATATATTTTTTCAACCATCCAACCAAAGCAAGGAAATAAAACCATGAAAAAGCAAGAAGTTACTGAGTGTTAAAGAATATGAGATAAATAAACACTTTATTCAAGGAATATGAATTAAGAAGACAGAAGATAACGATTAAAATTTAATTTAAATTTTTGAAAATAATTAAGTTATAAAAATTATGCCCCAGTAACATAAAATAATTTTTAGGGGCAAAATATAATTTTTTTTAATTTTCTCCCAACTCCAAATTCATGTGTCAGACACAAAACTTAAAACCAGCAAGAGATGACGCAATAATTTTTAAATCAAGACAACAACTACGTAAATTTTCAAAAGGTAAACATTGATTTAGTGTTAAAAATTCGTGTAGTAGACAACAAGTGGTTGTACTGTAGGGAGACCACAGTTGTTTTCCCTTGGGTTGAACTCATGGGAGTTTGGCCCCTTTTAGAGAGTAGAACTATTCTGTCCTTTTTGTCTTTGCTTCCGTTTCTTGGGGGAACGGCCTGTTTACCTTCCTGATCACCAGGGTATCCACACACGTGGAAATTGGTCAACATGTGCACGGCGTAGCGAAAGAAAAAAGTAATTTCCATTCGCTTATCTGCGGACTATCAAAGGCCATATAGCTGGTATGTTATTTTTTTCTCGTTCTGTAAACCTCCTCGTTCCTGTGGGACAATATGGACAATTATGTTTTGGGACATATGTAAATCTTTTGAATATATGTATGTAAGTTGTTTGCCTTATTAAATGTTTTTTTTTTGTCACGCTCGTGTATTTCGTCTTTCTGTATTCGTATTCAGTGTTAGTTTATCAATGGCTACACTAATGCTAATATTACTATTGATGTGCTACTGGAAGTCTAAAACACGTTATTCTTCCTAACACAAAATAGTCGGTAAACTCTATGTGGCAGATACCACCATACTAATAGTACAAAAATTTCCTTTTGTGTCACTCTTTCAGTAGGATAACAATTTCTGAGGTAACAAAAAAGGATTACCCACAAAAATAAGGAAAATTTTTTCACGATTAGTTTGATAAAAAACGGATTCATATACAAAAAAGAATGAATCGATTCAAAAATAGAAGAAAAAAAAACGGAAACAACTTTGAGAAAGAAATAAAATAATGGCACAAGACAGAATTGTTTCAAATATGACCCACCCCAGTTCTTATACAAAAAAGACGTCTCAGTTCGAAGGTGCTTGTTTTTTTTTCTGTTTTCAACCTGTTTTCTCCAGGACTCTTAAACTATTGACGCAAAGTTCACTTGTATCTTCGGCGTGAAGAATTTTCCCAGCGGCGCATAAGGAATTTAAATTTTGTGGGTAGAGACCTGCCCCGAATCTGTCACGTTTGATTTATGCCTGCTGGCTAGACCGTCCTTTGAAGTGCGGGTGCTAATACTCTTTTAGCACCCCGCTACTACTTTCTTACCGATGTTGAATCTTATACTGCTTCATACGGATTTTCAGAAAATATCAACTACTAATTAGTCAGTTAACACGCAAGTGGTCGTTGCAATCCACCCACGTTTCCAGCGCGTGACCAACTCAAGTTTTCCCGCCAAGTTTTTTCGATCCTGTCACGTGGGTACATTAATTATAAATAGCAGACACGATCTCTCTCTCTCTCTCTCTCTCTCTCTCTCTCTCTCTCTCTCTCTCTCTCTTTCTCTCTCTCTCTCTCTCTCTCTCTCTCTGTGTTTCCCTTCGCCTAAGATGTAACCTTAAGGATTTCCGTCTCGACCACGTGCGGTCAGATGTTAAAAGGATATTCACGCATGCACGTACGTAGAAAATTTTCCAAACTATATTAAAAACATACAAACATTTCCAAACAAGCAACAAGAACTTTTCTCTTTGAAATACTTTTCTAATGCTACAGTTTATTCAGTATTTCTCAGCTTTATAATTCATTCAACTTTTGTGAGCTCAGATAAAAATATTTCAGTCAAAGGGACATAACATCAAAACCTCTACGCATGTACACAAAAATAAATATAAATTTTTATGTTATAAAACCGTTTGATGTTTCATATTTTATTATATTTTATGTTAAATATAAATCCTGTTGTCATGTTAATAAACAGACATCTAAAAATGGTCCATTCTTATTAACATACCTCGACACTATCTCCGTTCTGGTCAATGGCACATTCTTTTTTTTCTGTTTGATCTTCCTTCATCTGCTGATAGCTTTACAGAAAAAGTGGTCATTCTCTTGGCTCCAGTCAAAATTTCGCAACATCTAGAAAACCTGGTTCTCATTGGCCAGTATGCATAAGAAAAACTCTCTGTAAGTATTAAAAAAAAATGAATCTGAAACATATCAAACAGTTTGGGCTGTATCACCACTTGATCCTAAGAGATCATAATATACGCATTCATTTTAACAAAATCTTTCTGGCATTATAGTTATGGGCCATGCGGGATAGACGCTTAGGGGTCATGTATCTTTCGATACATGTCTGACGAGGCAGATTTCTTTCCACTTGCCATTTCTTTGTGCGGTAGACCAGTGGACATCCAAGGTTATAGAACCAGATCTGCTCCGCTTCTTACCTATAACTGGGGAGAAGAAGAGGATTCATACCTTTCCTAAAGGTATTATCATGTAACGGGAATTCGAACTCAGCTTCCTCATTCCGAGACATCCATTACTTCACTATGACCCAATACATTTTTCATTAAAAAAAAGCAACAACCTAGACGAATATACATAGATCTTTGACATTTTATTACAAATAATAAAAATAAAACTTTATAAAGATAAAACGAAAGCAAGATTCCGGAAGAGTGGCCCAAAAGAGAGATGTGTGGGAGAAATACACTGTTAGCATAGAAGTTACGGTTACATCTACCCATTTCATCTGTAAAATAATGCGACAGAGTCACCAATCTAGTACTTCAATTCGTAAAGTGGAAGTACCAAAGAGGAAAGCATATCTGGACAATATTCATGAAAAATATTCATAGAAGTGCCACATGGAAACTACATTACGTTTGTGAATATGACTTAGGAGTAGATACACCGCCTGGACTAATATATTATATATATATATATATATATATATATATATATATATATATATATATATATATATATATAGATAGATAGATAGATAGATAGATAGATATATGTGTCGGTGTGTGTGTGTGTATTTCAGCCTGTTCATACCTATCTATCGCAATCTGTTCCTAATTAGTTATTTATCTATGTCTGTATATTATCTATCTATCTATCTATCTATCTATCTATCTATCTATCTATCGCAATCTGTTCCTAATTAATTATTTATCTATGTCTTTGTATTATCTATCTCTATCTATCTATCTATCTATCTATCTATCTATCTATCTATATATATATATATATATATATATATATATATATATATATATATATACATATATATTTCAACCTGTTTATATCTACCTGCCTGTCTCTCTCTCGCTCTACACGCACATACATACAGACAAGCACACACACACACACATATATGTGTGTATGTATTTATTTTGTTACAGGTATTTATATAAAAGAATGAAAACGTTAGTTCTAAGTAACTATTAAAAAATTTAGACATAAAGAAAACGGTTAAAGACATAACATCATGTTATTTACAATGAATAACACACAAATTAATCCCAACCTTAAATAATTTAGAGATTAATTTACATAAATAATTTCAAGAACTTTCACTCACTTTCGTGAAGTAAAAATGAATCTGCCAATTAGTGTCCTCCATAACCTATCCAGACTTTTCAGCTAACCTTCATGAGCGTTTCTTAAAAGAAAATTCTTCTTAAAATCTTCCCTTTCCACCGTTATATTTGAGTACTTGTTATAATCCTTGCATTAACCCTGATTAAGTCCCTCGGAGGACGAAACTCAACGTCTAAGGTAAGTTTCCCTTTAGTCTACACACACACACACACACACATATATATATGATAGGAATTATTAGATAATTATATTTAAGTAATTCATCGAGTCTGAAGCCTCAACAGAATGCAGAATGAAAAAAACAAAGAATTACTTTGATTACTGAGAACTTTGAATGTTAAAATTCGCGTAAATGTTTGAAGAAATGTCAAACGATATTTCGGCGATGCGCACTTAATATTCATATATATGGAAAAAAAAAACAATTAATATATAACAACCAATATATATATAGAGAGACAGAGATAGAGAGAGCGTGTTTGTGTGTGTATGTGTGTGTATGCGATGGATAAATTGTCGTCATTCTATATTTTAATTTCGTGTATACGCATTGTTTTTTTTTTATCGACTGCACAGTATAGTTGGGTCAGTTGGGCACCATCTGTGAGAAATCTGTGAGTCACATGACGCACTTTGCCCCACTAGAAGTGTTTGGGTGTCAATATTAAAACAGTGCAGAGATATAGGAAAGAAGTGAATGAATCTCATT